ATTGCTAAGGTTTGCTATGTTGACCAGAGTCAGCTTTTAACAGGATTCAAATCACAGACTAAATAGAAAAATAATATATGTAGTGGATATCTCTAGGAAGGAAGATAGAATATGTCAAAATATGTATTTGGGAGGCTCAATCTAGAATATTTTCTCTTTTGCCGTTATTTCCATGCAGTTTTAAAAGTATAAAAGGCTCTTAACACTTGCAGATTTAGCATACATGGTTTTGATTAGGTACATCAATTTAAATTTGGAAGACTGTGGGGACAGTTAGCAGGAAAGAATTAGGAGGGCTGGTAAGTGAGGCAGGTCAACCATTCAACAATGATGGGTAAATTATATGCTTACTTTGATTCAGTAATTCAGGCACTTTCCATAGATTTTCAGAAGTATTCTTTTGAATGTTGCTCTATGTCCCAGTGTCTGAAATCTTTTCATTGGTTGTAGCAATAAAGAAATATGTAGTAACTAATTTAATAATAGTACTCAGAAAATTATCACCTACTCTTCGTTTAGCCATATTAGGAGCAAAATTTACAGATCCCAAAGAGGAAGGGGGACATTTTAAAATTCATGATAACCTAACCAGTGTCTCTTGGTTGGAACAATATAGGTAAAAATAATAAACTCAGCAATTAAGACAGATGATCATTAGTTGATGACTGGAAAACTTTAAATCATGGTTTTGGTTTTGTTTCTTTACCCCTCTGAGGTTAAAATAATTGATATACTGGTAACTCGAGAGGGAGGAAGGGAATTGGAATTATGAAAGCAAATTCTTGGCAGCAGATGGATGAACATTTTAAGTGTAAATTATACAGGGAAGCTGGCAAATGGAGCAGCACACCACACCCATACCGCTCTTGCTAAGGCTCAGGCTTACCAGGTCATGCTTTTTTGTTTGCTTGTTTTTCTTTCTTCCTTCCTTCTTGCCTCCCTCCCCCTCTCTCCCCCTCTCTCATTTCCTTCCTTTCTTTCTCATTTAAAGTCTATTAAGAACAGAGCTACTTTTTTTTTTTTTTAAAACAACATAAGTGGGACTTCCCTGGTGGTCCAGAGGCTAAAACTTCCTGCTCCCAATGCAGGGGGCCCTGGGTTCGGTCTCTGGTCAGGGAACTAGATCCCACATGCTGCAACTAAGAGTTTGCATTGCTGCAATGAAAATTAAAGATTCTGCATGTTGCAACTAAGATTAGGTGCAGCCAAATATAAATGAATGAATACTCTATAAGTGGCCTGGGTTTTATCCTGAGAGTTGTTATGGTACTAAAACCCACCAGTTTAAAAAATTCATGTTGTAGAAATCTCTTGGCTTTTGGAAACTGCTAAATATTCTCTTATCCGAAAACGGCAGAGGGAACTCCCTGGCGGTCCAGTGGTTAGGACTCTGTGCAATCACTCCCAAGGGCGTGGGTTCAGTCCCTGGTTGGGGAATTAAAACCCCATAAGCCACAAGGGATAGCCAAAAAAAGAAAAAGAAAAAAATGGCCAAATTCATAGTTAAAATGTTTTCAGCCATTTCCTCACAAAATAAGGGTTTCAAAGGATATTTTTCTAGTCTGATTGCTTTGTGTTTATTTTTCCTCCCTCTAGGTGTCACTCTGCAAACCTGAATGGTTTATACCACAAGGGTCCCTACACCGCTAAAACAGACAATGGGATTGTCTGGCACACCTGGCATGGATGGTGGTATTCCTTGAAATCTGTGGTTATGAAAATTAGGCCAAATGATTTCATTCCAAATATTGTTTAATTGTCCCTGCTGGGGTTTCATTTCTGCAGTTTATCTTGGTTTAAGTGATTTGAAAAATGTAGCAGATCTGAACATTCACATGTATGATGACGGTAATTATTATGTGCACTACTTTTCATTCTTACTTTTCTTACTTAAGGTACTTTCCGTACAACAAATATGTGATACTCACCAAATAAATGTAGATTATATTAATATCTGTTGAATTGCTATGTGCAAAGGGCTCTGATAAGAGATAATGAGCAAAATATAAAATCATACAGTATATACATGACTTAGATACATAATAAATTACATATGAATGCAGTTTAAAAAATACATAAAAAAAATTTAGCAAATGATGGATGGCAAAATCAGCTGCCTAGATGGTAAATATTATGAGTTAGCAAATTAACTCAGGTGTCTGACTGCACATTAGAACTTTAAATACAACCCAGGATCTTAATCACTATGGAGCAAATACTCTCTCATATTTTTCGGATGTTTATGTAGACTATACACTTCTTTCAAAATCCTCATTTTAATTCTTTTATCAATCTTGTAAGGCATCATTGTTTTTGTTGTTTACTTGCTAAGTCATATCCAATTCTTTTGTGACCCTATGGGCTGTAGCCCACCAGGCTCCTCTGTCCATAGGGTTACCCAGGCAAGAATACTGGAGTGGGTTGCCATTCCCTTCTACAAGGGATCTTCCCAACCCAGGTCTCAAGCCCATATCTCTTGTACTGGCAGGCAGACCACTGAGCCACCAGGGAAGCCCAGGCGTTATTATCCCCACTTAACAGAGCTGAGAATTTATGGATCTAAGATGGTTTGACTGCTTAACATTTAGAAAACTAATAAGTAGGGGAACAAGAACTCAAATCCAAGTCTTCTGATACAAAATCAAATACTTTGCATCCAGGCTACAGCTTCTGCCGGCCTGTAGCAGACACAGAGGACACACTTCAAGTCCACATGAAGCTCAGTTTTTTAGCTAAAGATATACACTAACCATAGATCTTCCCTGTACCTCAGATGGTAAAGAAGCTGCCTGCAATGCAGGAGACCTGAGTTCGATCCCTAGGTCAGGAAGATCCTCTGGAGAAGGGAATGGCAATCCACTCCAGTATTCTTGCCTGGAGAATCCCATGGACAGAGGAGTTTGGCGGACTATAGTTCGTGGGGTCACAAAGAGTTGGACACGACTGAGTGACTAACACTGCTACTGCTATACACTAACCATACAATCACAGAAATGTAAATAATTCCAAAAGCTGATAAGTAAGAAGGAAAAACTTGTGCCTGGGAGATGTATAGTAGGGAACCTGACCTGGTTTGGAGGAGAGGGGCCCGAGAAGTTTCCTGGAGGAATGAACTTTTTAAACTGAGAGCTTTTTTGTTTTTTTAATATGTACTCATTTCTTTGACTGTGTCAGGTCTTCGCTGCGGCATGAGGGATCCCCACTGTGGCATGGGCTCTAGACGCAGGCTCAGTAGTTGCAGTGCATGGGCCTTGTCGCCCCTTGGCATGCGGAGTCTTCGTTCCTCAATTAGGGATCAAATCCGAGTCTCCTGCATTAAAAGGCAGATTCTTAACCACTGGACCACCAGGGAAGTCCCTGAGATCTTTTCACTGGGTGTGTGTGTGTGGGAGATCATTGTAGGAAGAAAGAAATCCTTGTGTAAAGTACACAAGGCAAGAAAGTACATGGAAACATGGAGAGTATATTTGGTGATCCTTAATTCCTTAAACCAGGGATTCTGCCGCCTAATATCTGTGTGACCTTGTATAGGCTACTTAACTTCTCTGAGCCTCAATAATCTCATCCATAAAATGAAGATTATAACAGTGCCTGCCTCTTTGGATTGGGTTGAGGATTACATAAGTACTTAGAATAGTGCCTTGCACAAAGCAGTCAGAAAGAAATAGGTGTGATTATTAGTGAAATAGGTATTCGGGGACAATAACAATAGATGTCTTGAAATAATGAGTCACATAAAGATGTTAAAGTTAGTCATACTTTCACCTCTAAACGGTGTTCCCCAAAGCAGTGCTTCTCAAACTTTAATGTCATACCAGCCACCTGGGCATCTTGTTAAAGTGATTCTGGGGTGGGGCCTAAGATGTGAATTTAACAAGTTTCCAGGTGATGAATATTGAGGAATCTGGTCTAGGGATCACACTTTTTGAACCATAAGGGTGTACAGAACCATGGGCTTCCCTGGTGGCTCAGTGGCAAAAAATCTGCCTGCCAATGCAGGAGATTCGGGTTCAATTCCTGAGTTGGAAAGATCCCCTGAAGTAGGAAATGGCAACCCACTCCAGTATTCTTGCCTTGGAAATCCTGTGGACAGAGGAGCCAAGAGGGCTACAGTCCATGGGGCCGCAAGAGAGTCGGACACGACTTAGTGGCTAAACAACAAAACAGGGAACTATGGTTCTGTGGGATAGTAATAGTTAATATAAGAAGAAAAGGGCTGTATCAGATGTATTTAGGAGATGATAGTAAACAAAATTCAATGGATTTCTTCTCTTGAGTATTTCTCGGGTCCTGTAACCCTTTTAGGTGCATGCTGAAGTTCCAACAGGAACATACAGTCCTCCTCTTACCTGTGGTTTCCCTTTCCAAGGTTTCAGTTACCCACAGTCAATCATGGTATGAAAATTTTAAACAGAAAATTTCAGAAGTAAGCTATGTGTTATTGATAAATTATACAACTTCTGAGTAACGTGATGAAATCTCGCGCCAATCTACTCTGTCCCTTGCAGGATATAAATCTTCCCTTTGTCTGGAGTCTCTTACCTGTTACTTAGTAGCCACCTCAGTATCAGATCAACTGGGTATCACGATGTTTTTGTTCAAGCAACCCTTCCTTTACTTCATAAGACACCCTAAGTGCAAGGGTAGTGATGCTTGCAATTCGGATTTGCCAAAGAGGAGTTGGAAAGTGCTTCCTTTAACTGAAAGGTGAAAATTCTCAATGAGAAAAGAAAAGAAGTCCTATGCTAGAGTTGCTAAAGTCTACGGTAAGACCCCGTCTCCTGTCTGTGAAATTGTGAACAAGGAAAAAGAAATTTATGCTAGTTTTGCTTTTGCACCTCAAACTGCAAAAGTCACAGCCACAGAGTGTGGTAGGTGCTTAGTTAAAATGAAAAAGGCACTAAATTTATACAGTCAGATATTTGCGGGGAGAGGGAGAAAAAAGAAACCATGCTCACATAACATTTATTAGTGTATTATTATTTTATTGTTTGTTGTTGATGTTTAGTCACTCATATATGACACTTTGCGACACCCCATGGATTGAAGGACACCAGGCTTCCCTGTCTTTCACTATCTCCCAGAGTTTGCTTAAACTCATGTTCATTAAATCAGTGATACTATACAACCATCTCAACCTCTGTCATCCCTTTCTCCTCCCACCCTCAATCTTTCCCAACATCAGGGTCTTTTCCAATGAGTCGACTCTTTGCATCAAGTGGCCGAACTATTGGAGCTTCAGCTTCAGTGACAATCCTTCCAATAAATATTTAGGGTTGATTTCCTTTAGAATTGATTGGTTTGATCTTCTTGCAGTCCAAGGGACTCTTCAAGAGTCTTCTCCAGCACCACAACTTGAAGGTGTCAATTCTATGGTGCTCAGCCTTCTCTATGGTCCAACTCTCACATCTGTACATGACTACTGGAAAAACCATAGCTGTGATCTATACTGATCTTTGTCAGCAAAGTGATATCTGCTTTTTAATACTCTCTGTAGATTAGTCGTAGCTTTCCTGCCAAGGAGCAAATGTCTTAATTTCATGGTTGCAGTCACCATCTGCAGTGATTTTGGAGCCCAAGAAAGTAAAATCTGTCACTGTTTCCATTTTTTTTCCCTTCTATTTGCCATGAAGCGATGGGACTGGTTGCCACGATCTTAATTTTTGAATGTTGAGCTTTAAGCCAGCTTTTTCACTCACCTCTCTGACCCTCATCAAGAGGCTCTTTAGTTCCTCTTTGTTTTCTGCCATTAGAGTGGTATCATCTGTATATCTGAGGTTGTTGATATTTCTCCCGGCAGTCTTGATTCCAGCCTGTGATTCATCCAGCCTGGCATTGTGCATGATGTACTCTGCACAGAAGTTAAATAAGCAGGGTGACAATATACAGCTTTGACGTACCCCTTTCCCAATTTGGAACCAATCCGTTGTTCCATGTCTGGTTTTAACTATTGCTTCTTGACCTGCATACAAGTTTATCAGGAGACAGGTAAGGTGGTCTGGTATTCCCATCTCTTTAAGAATTTTCCACAGTTTGTTGTGATCCATACATAGGTTTTAGCATAGTCAACTTAGCAGAAGTAGATGTTTTTCTGGAATTCCCTTGCTTTCTCTATGATCTCTATGATCCAACGAATGTTGCTATTAATTTCCTACTATTCGTCATTTATAAATTAAACTTAATCATTGATATGTACGTATGGGAAAAACATACATAGAGTTCAGTATTATCCACAGTTTTAGGCATCTACAAGGGTCTTTGAACGTATTCCCTGCACATAAGCAGGGGAAACCACTTTTGCGTTTTTAGATCTAGTTAGGAGTGTGTTCTGGAGAAGGCAATGGCACCCACTCCAGTACTCTTGTCTGGGAAATCCCATGGACAGAGGAGCCTGGTAGGCTGCAGTCCATGGGGTCTCTAAGGGTCGGACATGACTGAGCAACTTCACTTTCACTTTTCACTTTCATGCATTGGAGAAGGAAATGGCAACCCACTCCAGTGTTCTTGCCTGGAGAATCCCAGGGACGGCGGAGCCTGGTGGGCTGCCGTCTATGGGGTTGCACAGAGTTGGACATGACTGAAGTGACTAGCAGCAGCAGCAGCAGGAGTGTGTTCAGCTACAAGATGTTAATCGCTTGATTATGGAAGTCCAGACAAACGGGACGTGTCCCTCTTATGTAACAAGAACTCAGGAGGTAGGAGGTTGCTGGCCTTGGTTCAGTGCTCTGCAGTGTGGAAGCTGATATCTCTGCCTTCACTTTGCCCTTCCTTCAGAACCTCAGGTTTTCTGTTGCAGTTTCTGCTTTGAGTCCCTGTTGAAAGCAGGAAGAAGGGAGGATTTATTTATCTTCTTATTTGGCTTAATAAAGCATAAATAGACATCAATTTATGCCTTATTGGCCAGAACTGTGTCATGTAATTATTCTATCTGGAAGTAAGATCATGAGGGAGATTGTTTAATTTTAGAGTTGCTAGAATGTACAGGCAAGAGAAGTATCTGCAATGGTTCCTGAACTTTTTAAAACTTATTTTATTATAGTTGGTTTACAATGTTGAGTTAATTTCTGCCTTGCAGCCAAGTGATTAAAAGTTATGCATATAGATACATTCTTTTTCATATTCTTTTCCATGATGGTTTATCAAAGAGTATTGAATATAGTTTCCTGTACTATATAGTAGGACCTTGTTGTTTATCCATTCTATGTATGAGTTTGCATCTTCTAATCCTGAACTCCCACATCCTTCCCCCATCCTACCCTTCCCTTTGGCAACCACAAGTCTGTTCTTTTTGTGAGTCTATTCAATCAATTACTGAACTTTTTTTTTTTTAATGCAGTCTTGAGGGAACAGTGTTCCATAGATCATACTTTGAGAAAATATAAATAATGAGGCACCAGTGGCAATTTTAAATATGGATATTATTTGCTCAAGTAATAGCATGAAGACCACATGCAATTAGGAGATCAAAAGAAGAAAAGCTTTTAAAGAAGAGAAAAATGATTTTACAGACAAGTGGGAGGGGAGCTAAACAAGTATCATGTTACATAAATCTCAGTGTAATAATTTTTCAATGCAGAGGGAATGAAAAACAATTTTAATGCCATAAAAAGATGGAAGAGAAAGAGTTCTAATGAAAAACCTTTGGATTTAGTGATAATGTTATTTAAACTTAAGTGTCCTTAAGCCCATTTCAATGGACTAGTCTGGGAGACTAGCCAGAGGGTGGAAATAAAAGCAGTTAGAAAAGATAGATCATTTGAGTTTAGATGTGAGAGAGGGAAATTGGACTAGTTTACCTGAAGTCAGACGGTAAAAGTGCCTGCCTACAGTGTGGGAGACCTGGGTTTGATCCCTGGGTTGGGAAGATCCCCTGGAGAAGGAAATGGCAACCCACTTCAGTATTCTTGCCTGGAGAATCCCATGGACAGAGGAGCCTGTTAGGCTACAGTCTATGGGGTCGCAAAGAGTTGGACATGACTAAGCAACTTCACTACTGCTACTACCTGAAGTCAAAACCCAAGAAATACCCCAGTCTAAAACCAATTCCTCAAAAAATTTACCATTAGAGAGTTATTTGCTAGACTCTACCACTTTTTAAAAATTTTATTAATTTTTTTATTGAAGGATAATTGCTTTACAGAATTTTGTTGTTTTCTGTCAAACCTTAACATGAATCAGCCATAGGTATATATATATATCCCCTCCCTTTTGAATCTCCCTCCTATCTCCCTCTCCATCCTAAAATTGAAAATATCTTTTAATTTATATCAAGTGATTGCATTATGGCCAAGAGTTGTTTTGTTTTTTAAATAAAGCAAAGTATAAATAAAATGCAAGAATACTAAATACCTACATCATTGTAAATGAGTTTTCCACCAGAAGACGAATGGTACTTTTAAGAAAAAGAGGATAGGGAGGTGTTCCTGAAAGTACCAACTTTACAAGTTTGCCCAAGATCTATAGTTTCAACAAGGATGTAAATCATAAAATTGAGATCCCTCCATACAGCCCATAATCTATGGTTCAGCCAGCATGAAATTAATCGGGAAGAAAGACAAGTCAACACACAGGCAGTTAGTCTACTCCAAATGATAATCAAAATGGTTTAATGTTAAGCTATGTCCCAAAAGATTGCAATGTGACTGTCTGGAGTTTAAATTTTGTCTTTGCTTTTTTCTATGACAAATTACATCTCTGTGCTGAGTGTTCTCGTCTCTAAAGTATTAATAACAGTATAGCTACCCTATAGTAGTGTTGTGAGGATTAAATGAGGTAATCTATGCTGGGCACATACTAAGTGCTCCATAAATATTTACTATGGTAACAGTGGTGATGCTAGTGAAGAAGAGGAAGATAAAAAAGGAATGTGGAAATTTCCCTGGCTGTCTAGTGGTTAATACTCTGCACTCCCAATGCAGAAGACACAGACCTGATCCCTGGTCAGGGAACTAAGATCCTGCATGCTCCACTGCATGGCCAAAAATAAAAAAATAGATAATATATTTTTTAAAAGATAGTTGGCAAAATAATCAAAATTAAAAAAAAAAAAAAAGGAATGTGGTAATGGTGAACTAGAGTCTTGTGTGACCTTCACCTAAAGTTGAAGGTGTGAGTAGATAGAGGTTCTCCAGACAGGGTGTAGATAAAATGAGTTATGTCTCTGGGTAAGTTGTAGCTTCTTTAAAGGCTCCGCAGTCCAGGTTCTTAATATTAATAGAATTTAAAATACTAAAAAGTGAGAGAATGAAACCTGGTTTACAGATTATCTGATCCAGTGGGCTCTACAGAGGGCTGGGGTGGGGGAGGGTCTTTGATTTTGACAATGTGCCTTGGAGTCACTTCAGGGAACAGGAAGTTTTCGTCTTTTCATTTTTCATTCAACACAGCTGGGTTTTTTTGGTTTTTGTTTTTTTTAATCTAGTCTCTGTATTTGGGTTCCACATAACGCTTGGCTGTATTTTATGTGGTTTTGTTTGTTTGGAAAAGAAAGAAAGCTTATCTTCTCTCAAACAAGGTTTAGATCTGTTCCTTTTTTCAGATTCAGATGAAGAAGTTTACTGCATTTTGTAGAGGACAGGTCTTTCTGGGGAAGGACTTTATTACTCCCTGGATTCAGATGAATTAACAAATATTGTAATCCCAAGACTGTACCTTGTGTTCTAATGAATATCAGCGCTTCCTTTAGAACACTGCTTTCTAAAGCCTGTGCACTCAGTAAAAACTACACTCTGTGGTGGGTAAGTTCATGACAAGCTGCCACCTTTTCAAGAGGATAAAAGAGCAAATTAGGCATTCAGTCACGCCAACTTGGTCTCAGGGTGAAAATGACACCGGGTATTGTCTTTTTAGCTTCCCTCCTTGGGTGCTGGCACCGTTTGCAGTTTCTAGGCCTTTCTAATTATAGATGTGCTTCATAACATTGTCCCCACCTGCACCTCTAACAACAATATTCAGCACTTTAACATTATCAAAGATCATTCCAGCTTGAACTAATTAATTCATATAATCCAACCATCTGGGACAGATAGTACTATTATCCAGGTTTTATAGACACAGAAAACTTCAAAAGAGGTTTCTGCAAGGTCATATAGTAACTGGAATGAGGCCAGGAGTATATGTTAAAAGATCTAGTTTTCTAGTTCATTGGAAGATGACCTTACACAGTTTAGATTTAGGGGTAGTGTGATTTTTTTTTTCTCTCTTCAGGGTGCTGAACAGATACTCCTTTGTTGGATACTAGCTCATTCTCTGGTTTCTGCTGTGGCTTCTCTCCCAGAAGGAATGATTAAGCCCTTAGGGATGGTCATGTACGTCATGATTCTTTGGAATGCCAGGTAGTTGGGGAGCTCTTAAAGGTGGCTAACACATGCCAGCCGTTTCATCTCTCTTGCTCTCCTCCTTTAATTACACCCACTCTGTCTCTTCAGCTGAGGGACACTGAAACTTGCAGCTC